GAACATGGTGGTGGCAAAAGAAGAGGACGTTCGGTTGGTGGCAGGAGCTCGCTGCAGCGCGTTCACTGCTGTATACCATCGAGTCGACCGTTACGTCGGCTCTGAATAAACGCCTCTCGTAGACGTAACAGAGTGGTGGAGGTGCTGGGTAACGCCGGAACGGTTATACCTCGGTGATCGGTCGTACCTTGGCGGCTGCCGGTAGTTGCAATACCTGGCAATGTGTCCTTCGAAGCCACAGTTGTAGCAGACTGGTAGAGGACGCTCGCCGAACCAATGCTGAGAGCGCTGAACTGTGAAGGGTCGGTGACGAGCTTGCTGAGCGGGGGCTGTCCACCTCTGTGTGGCGGGGCCGTGACGAAGGCGTTGGCCATATCGCTGGTCAATCACGAATGAGTCACGACGTGGCCGCGGGTTTCCAGTTTCGCTGATGCCTGCCGCACATACCGATGGTGGCAAAGGAGCTAATGGCGCCGCCGTGTAGTAGGGTGGATTGGTAGGTGGATGAGGAATGGTTTCGTCAACCCTACCACCTTGTCGCTGCAGATCTTCACGCACAATTGCCCGAATAGTAGCGGCAAGGTCGGTGGGCGGGCTCACGTCAACGCTGGCGACCGTTTTCACATTTGCCAGCCTACCAAGTTTCGGGGCGATGCGACGAGTCTTCAATTTTTCAAACGTGCGGCAGTGATGTTGGACGTCAGGGGCAGAGGTGAGGTCATCTCTGCCTATCAGAAAATTGTAGACGTCTTCCGCTATGCCTTTCAAGAGGTGTCCGACCCTGTCTTCTTCAGACATCTGCGGGTTTATAATCTTGCAAAGCTTAAGAACCAGAGTGCAGGTTTCTCCAGCAGTCTCGGCTCCTCCAGCAAGAGTCCGCTCCGCGCTTTTCTTTTTTGAGTCGGAGTCACCAAAACACTTCTCCAGTTATATATATATATATATATATATATATATATATATATAAAATGTGTCTGTTTTGCAGCTTAGGTCTGGGTGCTCTCGTGGTCACCCCTTTAAGTTGGCGCCAACCAAAATCAGAATGGTAGAGTAAGATATTTTGACGAATATGATGCGCTGGTCTTCGGTGGTGACGAATTTAATGCGTGACAATCGCATCGCATACGCCGTCAAACACTTCCCGCCAGACAGTGGCACATACCTACGGGCGGGATGTGCCACTGGTATGTTTGTATGTGCCACATGTGATTCACACTTACTATCTACCCTGGAATGACGAAAACACACATTGGTAATTTTAACACGTGAGCGTTAAGAAAAAAACTGGCAACGCAGCGTTGACCCAATAAATGCAAAGAATTAATGTAAGGGTCCCAGCAGGAGTCGAACCCCAGCATTCTGCGCAGCAATCAAGTATTCTATGACAGAGGCACGCCAGCTAGGTCTCGGAACTGCTTTACAAGTAGATCTTGATATATGTGAAACGTCTATAGTGGCTCCAGTGCTGGCTATCTCATTTTATAAACATTGCATATGTACTGTTATGATATAGCTGTCACATCGGGTTAACGCAAACTGTAGTTAGGTACCATGCGCTGAAGTTTATTCATGTAGTAGTGTCCAGAACTTCCATCCTCGCGAGCACCGCTTCATATCAGCTTACCGCTTCTGGTGTTGCTACAACTCTTGTTCCTGCTGGCGTCGTTGCGCAAGTACAAACAACTGCTTACATAAACATCTGCAACTATTCAACATATGTCTCTGTGTGCAACATTTTTATTTAATTCATTTATTCAAAATACCTTACAGTCCCATGAAAGGGCATTGAATAAGGGGAGAAGTATATACATTGCAAAATATACAGACAAAAAAAAACAATTCATAATCAGCAAGGTGCAAGAAAGTTATACAATATTGAAAGCAACAAAATAAGGTTATCATGAAAAGATTCATGATTAGAGATGGATTCGATGTGATCTGGAAGGCCGTTTCAATGTGCTGTGGCTCAAGGTAATGATGGTGAGTTAAATACCAGTGTGTAACCACGAATGCGCGCATGAAACTACGTGTGTTAAAGGGTCGAGATGTGCGCAGAAGGACATGTAGGGACAAACAGTGGCATATGTTACTACAGATGTACCTATGAAATAAGCATAAAAGGGCATTGATGCAGCGTTGATCCAGTGACATGAGTGCAGCGTCCTGTTTTATTAGGGTGACGCTTGAATGATAGTAGCAGTCACAAGCTGTGAATCTCGCGGCCCTATTCTGGACGGCTTCCAACGTACGAACTGGGTAATCTTGACGCTTGACGCAGTGACCAAGTGGATGATGCTTACTCTAAATGTGGACAAACATAAGTTACAAATGATAATGCACGTACGTTAGAAGGAGCATTGCGTAAGTTTATGCGCAGATAGCCGAGAGACTTGAATGCTTTTGAAAAGACAGCTGCTAAGTTCGTATTCAAGAAAAGTCTGATGAAAGGCGAACACTAAGATATTATTTTTACGATAGTGTGGCTGAAACAACGGTACTATTAGTAATATATTGAGAAAGAACTTAGCTGAGTTAGAACACTCTCTAGTGAACAAGATTCTTTTGCATTTAGAGGCGTTAAGGGACATCTGTCAAGCCTCTCACTACTTGTAGGTTGTGGAGGGCGAAATGGTCGTCAATGGATTAAATATTGCGGTATATGACGCAATCTTCTGCGAATAACCTGCGGATGAAGTTGAGCTGGCAAATCGTCAATATATAATAAAAGCTGTAATGGGCCATCACACTGCCCCGGGGAAAACCAGGCGATACATCGCAAATGTTAGATGAAGTGTCTGTACCTACCGTAAATTGCTGCCGGTATGACATAAAGTTTCGTATTTATGACAGTGTTAATGAATGGATACAGAGAGAAAACAGTTTAGAGACTAAACGGCAATAAGGAACAAAATGAAAAGCTTTGGCGAAATCGAGAAGGAGGCCATTGGTTTGATTGTTACCGCTCATAATAAAATGAATGTCTGTGGCGTGTTCGAACAACTGAGTGTGACATAAGTGGCTTTTCCTGAAGTTATGCTTATCAGGAAAAAAAAGAAGTTATGAATGTGATCATGGATTTCAGAAAATATATTATGTGCAAGTAGTTTGCATGATATGCATGTTAGTCAAATGTGTCGATAATTACAAGGCGATCACCGAACCTTACTACTGGGACTAACTTGCCTATCTTCCAGTGATTAGGCAACTCACCGGATGTCCGATACTGGTTAAAGACAAGACGAAGAAAGTGACTAGTAATATCAGTGGTGCTCTTCATCATTTTAGAGTTATTGTTACCAATGCCTGATAAAGTATACACTACAAGATTCGTGATGAGGTTCACGGCCCCTTCTGCAGTGAGTATATGAGGGGAGTCCGTTTTTTTTTTTTTTTTGAAGTTTACTACAGGGCGCTTTAGCCAACATAGTTCCAGCATATGAACCACCACTTTACTTTTCACCGTATACTCATGAGTAGCTGATGCGAGTCATCGCATATTATCCACGACTCGACCCATTGCAGGTAGCTTACGCACGCTTCAAGCACATCGTTCAAGCAGTCATCAGTCTTGGTTTAGAGCGTTTTCTGTGCAAGTGAGCACGCATATTGCTTATTACATACCATTAGGAATAACAGACATTTGCGTTAATACTCCTCGTTTAAACGTATGTCTCCGCCAGCTCTTTTCATGCTGTTTACTACAAGTTACACCGTGTTGTGAAGAAACCCGTTGACTAATACACATCATGCAGGCCCCGAAACGGGAGCGAGAGTCCGCCTCTCGACTACAAAGTTTACAGAAGCTCAATAAAGCACTGTGGGTCTTTGTAGCGCATGCTATATTAGATTTCACCTACTAACTTTCCCCTATAAATCGATTTGGTGTTTCTGTTTGCTATATAACACGAAAGGGAAATCAGGCGAGCCTCCGAGTACTGATCTGAAACAAACACATCACGCTTCATATTGTTGCATGCTTCTTCCTGCAACCATCACTACCACTTTCGTGCACTATCATAAGAACAGCTGCAACCCAGTTATAATGTTAACTTTTCATTCGATGTGGTCAGTAACGCTCGATTTAACGCGTAATTATAAGCGCGATCGATCTTGTTACACCTTCGGAAATCTAATCTGTTTGGCATCCATGTTTTATAGGGGCTGATGTATTTCTCAGCGACTGTTTCGAAAACTTAGTTTTTACTTTTAACAAATATTTTATTCTTAATTTCTATTCCTCACATATTGTGATTAAGGAACGTGGATGACTCTGCCACAATTTTCAGGTACACTGCTGTGCAGCCCATCACTTTTTGTTCAAAACGTGGACGAGCCACTCAAGCTGAGAATGCAATCAACCGCGAGCAGGTCTTTTCTTTGGGGATGGCGGGTGGGGGGGGGGGGGGGGGGTTGTATGATTTATTCTGTAGACATTTGCTTACCTGAAATCTTGGTTTCCAATGATTGTTTTTATGGAGCATTTCTGTATAGGCACTGGTGAGATAGCATTGAACGTTTTATTGTCATTGTACGTCTCAATATTCTTTAGAAGCCTGTTTTGAGTCATTGTAATTGGTGGTGTAAAAGATGCACTTGCGAATTTTTTTTCGCGTATAAGATATACTATTATAGTAAATGGTAAGGTTAACCGACCGCAACTTATGCGCTAAAAATCAAACTATTCGAGGTTTTCGGATCAACAATGAGCATCTGTTATCTCGTGCTCAGAAGCAATACCTAGGTAATTTATTTCCATCTGTGTGCTGCAGCAATGGATGGCCTGTGCACATGACTTCGTGCTTGCAGATCTCAAGCATGCACAATTTCCAGTGAATTATCGAGTGAAGTCGCTAATTATAACCTTTGAGGCTATCTCATTTCACTCCTTGTCTTAGTTACAGCAGAATTATAAATCATGTAACGAGAGGTGCGCTATTAGTTTATTAGTTCAAGACTGTTTGCTGCGTTTTACTTTCACTAAAATGACCACAAATGCCAACTTGTTTGGCAGCATGCTTCCTTTTTATTTGCGAAATTGATTTAGTTTGTCACGAACGTCTTGCATACATGTATTGTAGGACGGCGCCTTACAGGGGCTGTAGCGACATATTCTTCGTTCTGTTTTGTAACGACATCTATTCTTGTACTCAATCTGCGGTCTTCCTTAAGGCTACATCGATGCGTGGCGCCGAGGTGCTCTTCTCGGGAGAGCATGTCACAGACCGGGAGATGGGCGTCTTTCTGCAAAAAAAGTAAACATTGAGTAAACAAAAGCTAACATCATTACGCATTCTCTTTCGATACGCGACACTCGCGTCATTTCAACCATCTGCTACCGAAAACTTGAAGATAAAGCTTATCACAACGTCAATACAGAAGCGGTAATTTAGTTAAAATCTACCTTTTAGGTAGAAGCATGTCAGCAGCTGTACTTTTCACTCTTTCTATTACGGAACAGGGAGGATCATACTATGTGCGCACCGACAATGAAGTCTTTCTGCACTAATGTGTACTCTCTTGTCTTATTTTTTAGGCATGGCAGTGAAGAGCTTGTAAAAATTGCTGCATCAAACTCGAGCTAACCAATGATCCATGAACAAATTATTAGGAACATAATGTAAGGGAAAGTGGTCGTGCTGCTAATAGTCCCGACTACGATAACTACTGCTGCCAATGGTTCAGACTACTTCTGTGTTTCAAGGCACAGACTAGTATCTTGTTGCATGTTTAACTGGAATCAACCGGAAAGCGCATTCGTACCGAAGATTTGATGGTGCATATCGCAAAATAGGCCCCGCTCTCATATTTCATTTCAAGTCGATAAGCAATGAATGCACGCAGACTAGAGTTAACCAGTCTTGACATCCCGTAACTGAATTATAAAACCATATTTGAATATTAGTGAGTAAACTACTAATCGAGGTTACCTGTAATTATTTTGGACGACGACCACGCCTTTCAGTTTACTTTTCATGAAATTTCTTTTTTTTTTCTCGAAACAACGACCTCTAAGAACACTGAGCAGCCTTCAAGAATATTCCCTATCCCCCTCAAAAAGAACGGAAAATCTGCCAGAGAACAGCTATATACTCACATCCTAAACCATGCAGGGTCATCGGTGAGTCGAGTTGGACGTCATCCGCAGGGCGAAAAAAAATGTGGGTGGTATAAGCTGTCCGAGGACCATAGCTGCGCCTTCCTTAGAAAGCTAGAAGAACGTCGCCACAGCATTCGCTGTTGCGAATTAGCATGCTGAGGTCCAGGTCCATGGTTTCGAGGGGAGAGGCTGCTTGCAAGCCGGTGCGTCGAGTGATATCGAAGAGCAGAGTGCGATATCTGGTCGAGCGTCTCGCCGCGGGCTCCGTTATATACCGGTGTCTCTTCATGGGAATGTCACGTGATCTGATAACGCTGGGGTGGATGCGCCAATCCGAAAAGAGTACGACTCCCCACTGGGCGCATCTGGTCGACATGCACGATCAGCTTTCGTTTGCATTCTATCGTGATGTTCCAGCGCTGTTGAGTTGTAACGTGTACATTGCGCGCGTCACGTACAAATAAAGTGGAATTATTGAAATTCAGCAGTTTTACGTGCCGAACCCAGTGTATGATTATCAGGTTAACCATAAAGGAGGACTCCGCGCTCAAGAATACTCGCGTTCACGCACTCGGCAAGGTTCTCCAAAGGCAGGGTAACCGGCTGCGCGGCTCATGACGTCATGCTTTATTGCGCGCCCTATGGAGTAGGCTTGTGTGTGTGTATAATACTTTGAGGAGTTAACACAGGCCTCTAAAGTTCTACCCGCGTTGGGAGTAAACATTTATCAAAACCAGAACATAAGTACACTAGTGTTTGAGCATTCCGCCCCCCTCCACTGCTAAACGAGGCCGCCATGTTCGAGAAAACGCCAGTCCTAAAGCTATAGATAATAAACCATTCCACTCTGTATAGGCGGATGGACTATTGCAGCTGTTTATCGCGGGGCCCAGAATGGCTGTCGACCAAACATCCTTCAAGTAAATGCGAAATGTCTGCCCGGAAAGTGTCTTTCTAATTAATCATGCGCTTTATTTTGGGGGTTTAACATTCGATCAGCATGTGTGTTTTTGGCGCGACATGTGTAGGCTTCTATGACTGACTGCATGCTCATGTGACGAATGTGACTAAGGACAGGACCGCCTACAACCAGTGCAACTGCAAACCTTGATAAAGATAACTACGAATCTGCTGTTATAATGTACATACTGAGCCAGGGCTCCCAAACTCGCCTCACTTAGTGGGCCATATATAGACACGATAGAGCAGAGAAGACCAGAACACTGAAGCCGTGCACACAATCACGCTTGCGGATTGGCTAAGAACTGGGTAACTTTTTTAAAAAATTTTATTTTGAAGTTAGAATATGTCTGTTAAAATTCTAAAAGTAATGAAAAGCAATAACTCCGAATGCTAAGAGTAGATAAAGAAGAAATAGGTATATAAAAGTAAAGTGCAGAAATTGAACCAACAAAAAGACCAATTCGGAAAACCAAGACACTACTAGTTCAGATAGATTGTCTAGCCTGCATCTCTTTCAGCGCTTAATAAACATCTGCAAGGCACCGACCGCCTTGGCGTCACTCTACCTAAGGGACTAATCCATCAAGGAAACCACATTGCGTGTCTTCAAATCTAATTTCAGGAATCGTATAAAGGCACCTAATGAAATTTTGTACAACGCGGTGTACTTTTTACAAGAAACGAGATGATGAACTGTTGTTTCGTGGTCTTCGCAATATCAACAATTGGTGGGAGCTGCCAGACTAGCTTTGTTTAAATAAAAATTGACATGTTGAAGTTAAAATTGTGTCCTGCAAGAGCCAGTACAGTTAAAAAGGTTGGGGCTCGGAGTGGAAGCGGACAGTTTGAACAAATGTCAGTTAACTTTGCCATTTGGAGGAAGGCCTTTCTCATAATTACACATCGGTTATTTCAAAATGCGACTTGAAGTCTGCATTTGAGAAATATGCCGATACCGGGTGTTCTCCTCTGCTCTCCACCTTCTGTCTTCTCTTTCTCTTGAGTCGGGGGGAAGGAAGAGTGAAACTATGATATTCGAAAGTGGAGCATCCCTTAACTGCGAAATCACCTCTTCAGATATTCGAAAGGAAACCTCTGCAGCGGCCTTGCTCCCTTGATGAGAGCAGTTGTGCACAATGGGTTGAAGGTTCATTAACACACTCGCTAAAGAAAAAAAAGGACAAAAACAGTCATGTAAGGGGGCCGCGTTCCCCGTCTTTGAGATCGATTCCTACTAAGTGACCAACCGGGTGTTTATCTTTACGTTTCTTCTTCTAAGATGTGTAGAAGGCATTGCCATTGACTCGTGAACTGGCGTTTGCAGTCGTGTCATTTTCAGCTGTCCGAAAACTGCACATTGCATCGTCGTGTCCATTTGTGCTGGCGAGTTAATGGTCGCGTCCTTGGCAGAGAGTTCAATTATAAGCAGGTGATGTGGCCTGTAAAGGCAGCACCATCTTTCTTCCACGCGTATTGACGGCTATAGAAGCCGCCCGCACGTCAACACCAGTCGATAAAGATTGATATCGGCGCCGCACCTCCTCGAATTATTATGTGCTTTCAGTACTTTATTTCTTCTCTTCTTTAGATAGACCATCTTCACTTTCCCTAGGCACTCAAAAAAGAACGTGCTCACAGTAATGAGCTCTAATCTTAGAGGCAATCCCATTGCTGAGTTCAGAAAGGGCGTTGGCACAACCTCTTCAATTAGCTTGCCAAGAGTGATACCTGCATTATTCCTTCCCGTAGCTCTTCCCGTATAATAGGTCACCGGCGACGATAATTGATGCTCTTTCCATTTGCGGAAACCAGTACGGCCAAGTGGCGTGTCGCACAGGCTTCCCTTATACAGTTACGAGGATCATTATCACATCCAACGTCGTAAAGCCAGCGTGGCCTTCTCCTCCATCCATATCGAAGGAGGCTTGCTTTACCGTGTACAGAGGGAAACATCTCCTTGCGGGACAACATTCCTATACATTTACCAGCATACAGCTTTCTCTAATTATAGCCAGGCCACCGTGTGGGCGGCCCTCAACACGCACTGAAATTTCGGATGTTATCAGTCGCACCTAAACGTTTACCTCTGAAATGGCACACCACTCTCCCTTTTGATATACTATCAATGATGACGCTAACACATGAACCATGCACGACTCAATGAAGTCACAGCCCATCGCTCTGCGCACAGGGTCGTATGCGGCTGCAAGACACTTCGGAGTTATCTTATCGCACGCTACTATAGACGCACGCTGCACCTGCTAATCTACACACGTCTTCACGCATTACGCCTTAGAGTAGCGTTTCGCTCCGGTAAGCTTTGAATGCAAGCTGTTTTAACCTCCAATCTTCAAACAAAAAAAAAACGCATGGAAGTTGCACTGCTGCGAAACCGGAGGGAGTGTGAAGCACAGACAGCACGAGCATCCAGCGATTCCCGATGGTGGAGACATCACGACTCTGTTTAAGATTGCGTCGCTGCCTAAAATTTTTGGGGGGCATATGTTAGCAGGACTTACCCGGCACGAGCGGAATCTTCTTAGGGAAAATCTAAAATTTTGTGGGCGATGTATCTTACTTTTGGCTGCGCTTTGTCGACAGCCTGGTTGTTACGGCAGTTAGGATTTGTGTCACCTCTGCCGAATTCCGTCAAGCTTCTCTGACAATTAATAGCCAGATTAAGGGGAGAAGCATTCACTGACTCGGCGAGGTCAGCGCGCCCTCACTTGCCAGAGTGGAAGTTTAGGCGCAATTTCCTGAAATCATTTAGAGGTTTTGTTTATTTTTTAATTCATCCTTGACAATTTCGGGTAACTTAGGTGTTTGAGGGTAACTTAGGTGTCGTTCATTTTAACCCAGTTTAAATCATTGCTACTCTTGTTATGGCCTGTATTGAGCACTTGAAGGCGAGAATATTCACGCGGCATGAGATTGATGTATGGACGGTAAGCCAGGCCCCTGAAGTGTACCACACATAAAATAGTGTCGCGATGGCTGTATAGCAGCTTCACTGGATCTGCTTAGTTTTCATAGCTAAAATGTCTGTCCACAGTGGTTATCCTTTAACGTACTAAGCTGCGCCGTTGCCCCGCCACGGTGGTCTAGTGGCTAAGGTACTCGGCTGCTGACCCGCAGGTCGCGGGATCAAATTCTGGCTGTGGCCGCTGCATTTCCGATGGAGGCGGAAACGTTGTAGGCCCGTGTACTCATACTTGGGTGCACGTTAAAGAACCCCAGGTGGTCAAAATTTCCGAAGCCCTCCACTACGGCGTCTCTCATAATCAAACAGTGGTTATGGGACGTTAAACCCCACAAATCAATCAATCAATATATCGGGATACTTACGTGCAAAGTGCACTGTCACATTGAAGCAAGTGGAAGTGTTAAAATAAAATGCTGTAGTTGACAGTAATTGCAATATTGTAATTGCAACAGTAAGGCAATATTTCCTTATAAACTTAACCCAGTGACACACCTAAATTATATCATATTGTTACGGAAAAGAAGAGACGCCGTAACGACGAGGCTGGGGATTAGATATATTCCAAACCATCGGTAATGGCGTGCCCGGTTCACCAGCGATCGAGCGGACACAACCCTTCGTCTTCCTCGTCAGGCACACACGCGCGTCGCCCCCTAGAATATCAGTATACACGCATGTAGCATAACCCCCGGCGGCGCAAGCGCCGTCTCGGCGCATTTAGATGTCAACGTCACTAGGAGAGTTGTAGGGCTTCAAGCGCGCAACATGTACAATATCAGTAGCCTGTTGGGCACATGAAGGCAATGGGGTGGCAGGACCAATTTCATATGTTACAGGCGTAACCACACGGAGGACACGGTATGGGCCTGTGTAACGAGTAAGCAGTTTTTCTGACAAGCCAACTTGACGGGTCGGAGACCAGAGCAGTACCAAAGAACCGGGTGGAAAGTGTACGTCGCGGTGTCGTTGGTCATACAAGCGCCGTTGCTTCTCTTGAGAGGTCAGAAGGCGAGTACGGGTGATTTCGCGTGCGTGAGCGGCCCGAGTGATAGCGTCCATGGCATATTCACTGGTCGGTACTCCAGGAGACGGTATGACGGTGTCTAGAGGCAATGTTGGTTCTCGGCCAAACAGCAGAAAAAATGGAGAGTAACCGGCAGTGTCATGGCGCGAAGAATTGTAGGCAAATGTGACGTACGGCAACGCGAGATCCCAGTCGGTGTGGTTGGTAGAAACATACTTAGCGAGCATGTCTGTAAGAGTTCGATTTAGGCGCTCCGGGAGTCCATTGGT